CAAAAGGTTATTCAGGGAGCAAGAAAGTACTTCAGCAGCAAGGATGAATAAGGAGGGAGATAGGGGGTCACCCTATTTTAAACGCTAACTAGATTTTAAAAAGTCTTTCCTAGTACCATTAATGATGATAGAATACCAATTACTAGGCAGAAGATTAAAGAGCATGTCAATCCAAATTTTCGCAAAATCAAATTTCCTAAGTATAACAGCGATAAAGTTCCAAGACATTCTGTCATAGGTTTTAGCCATGTCCAATTTCATTACAACATTACCACCTTTATTTGTATTAGAGATAGATTGAACAATTTCCTGATCTAAAAGAATATTTTTAGTAATGAGTCTATCCTTAACAAAACTACTTTGATTATTAGAGATTAACTTAGTAAGCAAAGGATATAGCCTAATATAAGGATTTTAGAGATAATATTGTTAGTATAATTAGAAAGGCTAATAGGTTTAAATTTATCAAAAATTGAAGGGGCAACGCTCTTGGATATAAGAACAAGACAAGTATGAGTATAGAATTTAGTCAGAGGCTTACCTTGGAAGAAGTCAATAACAAAGGCTATGATATCCTTCTTGATGATGTCCCAACAACTTTAGAAGAAGGATCCATCGTACCCATCTGACCCAGCACTACTCGTGGCTGACAGGCTGAATATTGCATTTCTTATATCCTCTTCATTTGGAATAACATTAAGTAGTACATTGTCTTCTTCTACAATTTCCTTAGTGATGCAATTCAAAATAGAAGGATCTAGCTTGGAGATAGGAAAGTTAAACATGGCATTGAAATATCTGATAGCTTCTTTAGAAATCTTCTCGTCTCCTTGAATATATTTTTCTTTATGATTTTTAATCATATCCAATTGAAGTCTTCTCATCTTTCTCTGAGCAAACTGTGAAAATAGTTTGTGTTCCTATGTTCGTCTCCAAACCACTTTATGTTAGCCTTCTGAGTGTTTAAGGACTCCTGCATATATAGCCATCTGATATATTCTGCATGGTCTTTGTTAGTTTCACTTCTGTCTGCCTCTGTGTTGTTGATAATATCCATTTCTTCCCGGATTTGAATCTTCTCCTCCCACTTGATGATATTACTCTGGATATCTCATATGGATTCTCTAGACCATTGACTTAGCTTTCTGCTAAGAAGTTTCAGCGTAGCTTGGAGTCTCGACATATTGTTGCCAGTGATACCTCTTTAATAATATTGAGAAAGTCGTCTTGTTTTGGTCCAAAAATTAAGAAATGGAAAGTATTTAATGTGCCGGTGGGTCTTATCAAAACATTTCATAAGCAAAGGCATGTGATCTGAGCATGTTCTCACTAGTTGTTTGATAGTAGTATTCTAAAAAATTTGTGCCAATGTATCATTGATAAAAACTCTATCTAGTTTTTTCCAAATTCCTTTACTAGGCCTCCAGTTGTTACACCAAGTAAACTTAGCTCCAGAAAAACCAATATCTGTCACCCCACAGTTATCCATACAATTCATAAAATCTAAGCTCTTAGATATTCTGTGAGGGTTACCACCAAGTTTTTCATCAGGTTCTAAGATAACATTGAAGTCTCCTCCAATGCACCACGGGCCATTATACCATTGCTGTCATTTTCTAGGCTAGAACAGAAGTCTTTTCTTTCCCTAGAAGTACATTTGGCATAAACAGCCGTAACGGCAGTAGTAATGTTGGAATGACCTTCTTCAATCATGATAGTAATGTGTTATTCATCATTGGTAGAAACAATGATATGACAAATATTCTTCCAGAAATACCATATTTTTCCATTGTCGTAAGAGATACATTCCTAGAATCCCAAGAATCTCATGTAGCCCTCAATCTTGTCCTTACTAACCATAGGTTCAAGGATAGCAACATATAAAATGTTGTCGATGCTAATAAAATGTTTCAATATATGAATGACCTTTTTGGACCTCACTCTCCTAATATTCCAGAAGATCGTACTAATCATGAAAAATGGGTTCTCGATATGTTGTCCACAATCATATGTTTAAAAGACCCTTCCACTATATTATATAATGAAAGTTGTAAAAAAGTAGCCACATGCAAAGAAATCAGGATTGGACAAGAATAATTTGCAATTTGCTAAACTCAACAACCATCTTGTTGTAAATTGGCAATACACAGTCTAATCATCTGGTTCTAAACATTATATGGAAAAATCTAACCACTCACGACTCTCACCAATGTACCATGGGTCACAAAGGAGAAACTAAAAGCACAAATGAACAAGAAATAGAGAATAACGTATTCATGTAATTGACACTTTAACTATTGTTATGCATTTTCACTTTGATTTGTTGATTCTTAAGATTAATTATTTAGTTAATTGTAAATACCCGATCGCGTCACTGGTTACTTCATTACCGTATCCAGATAAGTTAGTTCCCGTCCCACTCTAATCTAGAGGTGCAATATTATTGAGTACTTCATCGGTGAAATATGCTTGAACGGAAAGACCATCAACTTTTAAGGCTTCAAATCCAAATAACTTTTTAAATTTTTATACTTTATTTTGTGATAAGTAATTCTATTAAATTTTCTTAACTTTTTCACCAAACTTTAACATTTTTGTTTATTATTAGTAATGTAATATATATATATATATTATTATCTTAAACTTTATTTTTATTTACTATATTTTACTTAGTATTATATAAAACAAGACAAATAAAGTAGTCCATCTGTCCCAATTTATGTGGCATCGTATGAATTTCGATAGTCAAACGAGTTTTTCATTGACTGCGATCTTTTCATATGCCTTTTGAAAATGTAACTTATTAATAATTGTGACTTATAGTACTTCGTTAAGGAGTTTGACGAAGTAATACATTTGTAGATATAAATTACTACTCCTATATGCCTCTATTTTTATTGAAGGTGGGTCTTGGCGTAACTGGTAAAGTTATTGCCATGTGACCAGTAGGTCACGGGTTCGAGAAGACCCTTACAGTATGATATCCCGCGTATAGCAGCAGCTTAGTGCACCAGACTACCCTTATATATCTCTATTGGCTTTTTATAAAAAAATATTTAAACAAACCTTGTTGGCCTTACATCACCCCTTTTTTCTCCTCTTTAAAAAAAAAAAGGGCAAAAAAAAAAGAAAAAGAAAAGTTTGAATCCAGAAATTCAGAAATGACAACTAACAACCATCGTTTTCGGTTGTCGTGTGCTGGATTCAAGATGCCTGTACCAAACTGAAATTTCCAAAGTACTTAGTAATAAGATGGAAACTCCTCCTCCTATCTCCAATTCCATGGCAGAAAATTCAATCCAGTAGCTCAGCTAGTAACCTGCTGCTACTACTCCCTCTCATATTCTTTCTTTTTCTATCAACTAATTCATCTGCTCCAAAGAAGATAACAGTGATGTCGGCCAAAGAAAGCTTGGGCTTAGAGTACTGGCTTCAATGGCAAGTTGCCGTGTGTGCTCTAATCTTCATCATCCCTACTACTGTAGCTTTGAGGCTCATCAATAGGCAGCGAAAGGACACAGAGTATCCTACCAAGTCCACTGATCTGTGGGTCCCATGTTGGCGAAATCTCCATCCTCTTTGGCTTCTTTTCTTCAGAGCTTTCGCCTTTGTTGCCTATGTCCTTCTTGCTTTTTCAGACTGTGTCCAGCTTTGGCTTCTTCGACTTCTTCTTCTACACACAGTACTTAATCAGCTGCGCCATCTTCCAAATTCTCTACATATACTTTTGTGTATATTTAAAATTCAGACTATATTCTGCAATTCAATAGAATTTAACTGATCTGATATTCTAATTAATTGCTTAATTTCTAGGTGGACGTTTGCTTTGGTTGGGGTCTATTTTGCTGTATGGATACATAATATCAGTCTTCTCTTGCAGCTCAATTTTTAGTGAATACTTAATATGTTTTGCGGTTGATAGCTGACCATAATATGTGCTTGCATTGCAGCTGGGAACCATTATATCGGCGCGGGGATGCTGGTTATATACAAGAAATCCCCTCTCCCGGCGCGGGGAGATAGAGAAATTTCTTAAAACAGCTGCTCAAGAGAATAGTAGCAATGGGGCATCCTCTGACCAACGACTTGGATTTTGGGAAAACTGTATGCAAATTATTTATCAGGTTAGTGTTAGAGACTGTCAAGTTTGGATGTTTTCCCAAATACCCTAGGTTCTGGGGAGCATACAGTTATTGAAAGTGTGGGATAGCTGCAATGAAACTTGTATGAATCCCTAAGTTTAGCAAGTTAGAAAGGCAGAATTTTTCTTGTGAATATTGTTTGGTGGATGGTCTGAAACAACTTTGTTAGCCTAATTGCAATAACAACTGCTTAATTCAGCAACAATTGAAATAAAATAATATAGTACTTCCTATATTATCTCTGATCTATAAGCTAATCTGTCACGATAATCCAAATAGCTAAAAGCTGTTTTTAAATTGGTCAACTCACCTGAGTTTACTGTTAGAAATTTGACACAAGTTTTTTTTTCTTTTCATAGACTAGTGCAGGTGCTGTTATGCTGACAGATATTGTCTTTTGGTGTCTTTTGCTTCCATTTATGACGGGCGAGAACTTTAAGCTCACCCTGGTGAGTCATCTTTATTTGAAATGCTGCAGCATTATATGCATCATGTTTAGCTCTCACTGCATTCCCTTTAGAATGTTACTCTTCCTCTAACCATCTAAAGAAAATCTTTTAGTCAAGTTTCTATCAAGAGTACGCATTTTTCCATGTCAAAAATTCACAATATTAGTTTATATGATCAAAGTATCAGTCATTTCACGTGTTCCATCTAGATTATGCACCAAATCATGGTTATTTCTCAAAGGAAAGTGATATCGTCAACTATTACACAAAGCTACCATGCATAGAAAACGCAAATAGGGCGTATTGATAGTCCTTTCTAATTCATGAAGACCATGCCAACCATTAAACCAGGGGAGACAGGTTGGAAAGAGGGGAGAGAAACAGGGAGAGGACAGGTGAACTCAGCTATGATTATGGTATTTGCATGAGAAAATTTGGAACTTTAGATAACCACAATGCTTTTGTTCCCTTACATCCTTGAGGAACATATTTGTTGTCATCTTAGAACACTGAGCATAGTTACTAACTAATTGCAAGTTTACTCCTAACCATCTAAGAATTTACACAATTGTTGGAAAAATAGCATGAATACCAGCTTTTTAATGATTTAACTCCATAGTTACAAGTTTCTATTTATTTCCTGAAACAACATTATAAAGATGAAATTCCATTGTTCTCATAACATTATTAGACTGTGCAAAACTCAAGCTACAACCTCAAATGTATCGTTCAAAATACAGCTCTAACTCAAAGTAAATAGATGATCCGAAATGCCTGCCCTTTATGAGGTAACAAGTTGCATTTTCCTTTTAAGATAACAGAAAAATGGAGCAACATTAGGTCAATGACTCTTTTTTTGGTAACTGCAAATTTTATTAATTACCAAAGTAGCAATACAATTCCATAGCTTAGCCAACACAGCTAGCTATCCAAAGAAACTAAGAAACAAACAAAACCAAATCAGGAACCACGCTATCTAGCTAGAACATATATTTTTGCAGTACAATTTTTATTCTAGGTGAGGCTCTAACATTGCAAATATATGCAATACTTTCCCATCCTCTACTTGATTTCTCAAAGACTCTCTTGTTTCTTTCTATCCAAATACTATGCACACATTCAGCATACACCATTCGAAAAATCTGAGAAGCTTGTGATTTCCCTTTGGAATTTCTGATCATCCATGCAAGTGTTGCTTATTGCTCTTAAACGGTGAAGAGAGAGAGGGACCATGATGGTGGACTAAGAATGCATTTCTTTCTGAGCACAAATATGTAATTTTACAAAGTCAAGCAAAGGGAATTCAACTTGCTATTGTAGTTAATACTGAAATCAGCAAATATTCTTGTGACTACAAAATAAGATTGCACGCTTTCAGCAAAAATGGAGCTCCATTGTTAAACTTGCACATATGGCTCTATCAGAAGACTCTAAAGTTCAATAATCTTTGATGTAAATTGAGATGTTTTCCTAGTCGTTGAAAGAATTCACATAGTTGAAACGTCGAAGGCGTTATTCTTTTTGTTTTCTTAGCTTCTTGTATAGAGACATTTTTTTAATGGAAGTGGTCCGAATCATTTTCGAATTGCAGCTTATTTTACTCAAAAACTTCTCTAACTGTTAACTTTTGTTGACATGGCAGCTAATTGGATGCATGCACTCTGTAAATGCTATTTTTCTTCTTCTTGATTCAGTCCTGAACAATCTTGTAAGTGCAACAGTTTCTTATATGCCCATCTCCAACCTCAACAAGCTTTTTGGAGACCCTTCAGGGCTTGCTATAAGTTGTCGATATCCTGTAAAATCTAAAAGGAGAAGGCTGTTTTGTGTTTCAGCAATTTACATGGTTTGGTATCACATATTTTGTGCTGTGGAGCTGTTGTTATATTGTTTTCCAGTGGACTCTACACGCGTGCTGCTTAAATTGGTAAATAAACATGTACCACCATACGCACATTCATATGTAAAAAAGCATTCTTTTCTGTGGTTAATTGAAGTTCCTTGTCGCGCAGGTGGCCGTATCCTTTCTTGGAACTTAACACTCCATGGGCACCTTTGTGGTAACGACTAAAGACATGCCTTTTCTGTTGACATTCTTGATTCCTTTACAATTTAGATATCCTAAATGGAAAAGTTGGTTTCAGGTATCTTGGATTGGCTGTGGTCCACATCCCCTGTTACGGAATATATGCTCTGCTTATCAAAGCAAAAGGCCGACTGTTCTCGAGAATGTTTCCACAGGCATTTCTTAGGTCATATTATTGATCTTCCTACCTTTTTTGAAAACTTCCCAGTTCAATCTCTAAATTTCAAGATTTTATTGGTCATATAGGAGTGATATAGGATAACACAGAGTTCAAACTTCACGGCATGATCACTATAGCATTGGCATACACAAACATGCCCCTCAAAATGCGCCTTTTGCTAATCTATCATCTATCTTATGGCATGCAGTGGCAGGATTGCAATGGAGAAGAAGCATACTTGAAGCAGAATATAATTAAAAAGTACTCTAATTCGAGGTTGTTGTATGCATATACACGAAACCATATATAATTCCTTTTCTCAGTGACACGATTGTACTAAACAAACTTCATTATTCGAAGATTTAAGAGCAAGGGTTCTCCCTAAGTACTACAATATTAGACTAGGTGAGGAAATGAAGAAGGAGGCTTCAACCTAAGCACAATGACCTAAAGAGGAAATGGTCTTGTAACAACAGTTTCACAACAACATTGTATGTCCTCCATAAGAAAGAGGAACCTACCGTGGCTAGTGGACGGGAAGTAAAATCAAAAGTAATATTCGAAAATCATATGAGTTGTACGAAAATTCCGGCATGCGTGAGAGCTAAGATAAGCTAAGTATGGACGCAACAATGGGGCAGAAAGATCAGAAAAAGTAATAGCTAACGTTGAAAGAAAGCGAAGATGGAACGAAAGAAATTATTCGATCAATGATCCAAAATTGGCTACGTTATGAACGCACTTAAGGGTTCGGAGTTTTATACATGTAGCATATACAGCCATAGAAGGTTTCGGTATATGTTAAAAGAAAGAATCGAGCCCAGGTCATAAATGCAGGATTATATCATGGATTTTCCATAACACCCATGAAAGGCTAAACATAATAACTAATACCATGAACCATAGTTCGGGAGATAATTTAAGCCGACATAAAGGCTGATCAGAAGGAAGAAGAAAATAAAAAATTACATCAACGAAGTAAATCAGGAGTCTGATTATTGGATCCAAAAAATTATAGATCTCGTGAATGAGAATATTTTTCACGACCCTAACCCCGAACCCGGTCGTGATGGCGCCTCTCGTGAAGACAAGGCCAACCAATCTAACACAATTCGTCCTTTTAAGCAGTTAAATAGCATAAAGATAGTTTAAACATGATTTAATAGCAATATTTAGCGAAAATAGAGATAACAAAGTGGAAATCCATCCCAATACAGCCCTAACCGGGGTATCACAAGTCACGAGCGTCTAAGATACTAAATCCTCAAATGTAACTACAAAGTCTCAAATACTGAAATAGAACGTAAAAGAAATAGATAGAGAGGAGCTCCAGGTTGCGAACGCCAGCAGCTACCTAAAGACTCCTCGAAGATCCGCCTGAAGTTGGAATGAGTCAGCACTTGGGGGCGAGACCTGCTACGCCTGAATCTGCACACACGGTGAAGGGAGTAATGTGAGTACTCCGACCCAGTCAGTAATAAATATAAATAATGACTGAAAGTAAGAAAACACGTAAAACACAAGGCATTCTATAGCGAAGCAGTAAAATCACTTAAAAACAGTAAATCAGTGAAGTATCAAGTAAAATCCCTTCTTCAACAAGTAAAACAAGTAATTGACATGTAAATAACAAATAGAAGTTTGCCCCTCGGGCACAGTATCAACAAATCCGCCCCTCGGGCAACAACTCAGAACAGTACCAGCCCCTCGGGCTCAATCTCAGAACAATACCAGCCCCTCGGGCTCAATCTCACATCACAATGGGTACCAGCGCTCACTAGGGATGTACAGACACCGGGAGGGGCCCCTTACGGCCCAAGCGCAATATCAAGCCATCTCGTGGCATCAAATCTAGGTCCTCGGCCTCATATCAATCAAGCCACCTCGTGGCGTATATATATATCTCAGGCCCTCGGCCTCATATCAGTATCAGTGTATCCTCACATCTGGCCCTCGGCCGTACTCAGTCCGAAAACTATCACAAGCCCCTCGGGCGTTAGTAAAACAGTATTTCTCAGCCCAAAATATCATTTAAAATATCATTTAAGTCTCAAAACTGAGTAAAAATGGCTGAATAGTAAAACAGTGAAAAACAGCATGACTGAGTTCAAGTAATAAGTCAAAACAGTGAGGAAATAGTGATAAAAATCCCCGAAGGGTTCAAACAGTTGGCACGAAGCCCAAATATGGCAATCAGCCCAAACCATGATGATAACAACTAAGTTTCGGTCAAATACACGGTAAAATCATCAATCGGGACAGACCAAGTCACAATCCCCAATAGTGCACGACCCCACGCTCGTCATCAAGCTTGTGTCTCACCTCAATATAGCACTACCATGTGCAATCCGGTGTTTCAAACTCTCAGGACATCATTTACAATCATTACTCACCTCGAACCGGCTAAAACTCTAGCTCGCGACGCCCTTGGCTCACAGATGGTGAGGACACGTACTACCCGAGGTGATCAGGCACCCGCGCCCCTACTGTAGCCGTCGGAGGTCGGGGCCGGGGTAGAGTTCGAGGACGCGCACGTGGTGCAGCGAGAGCACCTGCGCGAGCTGCAGCCGAGGTACCACCAGCAGATCCAGCCGGAG